TGCAAAAAGAAGATGGTAACAACTTGTATGAGGCATGGTTATAAAATAATAAGCGTAAAAAAAAATAATGTCTTTGCAATTTGTGAAGTGAGGAGTGCCTTATAAATAAAAAATGAATAGGTTGTTTATTAATGAATTGAGAGAGTCTTTCACTATCTCTTCTCGGATTGTCATGTGGTATATCCATATATATATTAGTGGGAAAGTAATTATGTTTATGGGGTATGCGTGGTTATTTTGGGACAAATTGGAAGAGTTATAAGATTGTGGCACATTATGGGGTTTTTGTTAATATGAGTTCTTTGTATGATGTAATGTAATAAGGTATAGAAATAGATCTGTTTTAAGAATGGAGGAAGCATATGTTATAAAAAAAATAAGAATATGTCCGATATAAAAGACATCCTTTTTTTTATTAAATTTTGAATTTGTCCATTTAGGTATGTTTGAATTTTTAAGCATTTACGACAGGAGAACTTGATGACTTGGACATGTTTTTGATTATGTTGTTTGATCCTTGATTTAATCTATTAATCATGTCAAAAGCGCTCTTTAATCATGCAAGAAAAAAAAAGGGTAACTATTAAATAAAAATATTTAAATGACGGTATAAAAGTAACATGGGGATAAATGAATGACTAAAGACATGTAGTATATGTATAATTGATCAATTCTATTAAGGAAGAAAAATGGTTTGATTAGGGCCCCCTCATGATTGTCATCGTACACAATAATTGCAACTAAATAAGTGATCAATTCTAGCACCGACTAAAAGAATCTATTATTTCAAACTTTGAATATTTTAGGTTAATAGAGGCATTAAGTAACGATGGTAAGAAGCGCATGTGAGTTCCATCCATTGTTTAGGATGAATTTTTCATAGCTTATTTGGAAGTATGTTGCTTGCTACATTTCCTACAAGTAACATTTTTCTTTGTGTGGAACTACTAGTTATTACATATGTCATACAATACTTGCTCATATTTTTTTGTTAAGGCAATTTATTTTATGTTCGTAGAATTGCGTTTTTTTATGGTTTTGAGTCCGCATTTATAAAAATTTAAATATATAAAATAAGTGATTAGGTATTTTACCTTGAAATAGGCTCGAGTGGAGAATATCATGGATCGGACATGAGAAAGTACATATATATATATATAGTTGAATTAATAGCAAAACATGCATAAATAAAAAAATTAAATACTAAAAAAAATATTTATAGAGAAATTAAATATTAACTCGCTAAATTAAATGTGAGTTGACAAAACATGCAATTATTTTAAGACTAAAAGGAATACTAAAAAGTAAAAAAAAAAAAAATTAAAAATTAAAGACCATAAAATATTTTGAATATGAAATGCACAAACCTAAATTCTAGTGGGATACTTTATTTTTATTTTTTACTTTTTTTTAATATTCTGTTCTTCCCTTTTTGTTATCCCATTTTATTTATTATTTCCGTCCTTTTATTTTTTCTTTATTTTTTTTCCTTTTTATACATTTTTTTAAGCCTTGTTTTTTTTTTTTTAGCCTTTTGTAAATGTGAGTTGGGTTTGGCCCAACTCACGTTTTTTTTTTTTTTTGCCTTTTGTTCAATGTGAGTTGGGTCCGGCCCAACTCACGGTTTTTTTAAAAAAAGAAGCCCAACCGGGCTAAAGCCCCAAAACAGATCCCTTCCCCTACCTTATTTCATTTTCGATCAAAACAGAAATCAAGATCTCCAAGGTTATTGCCTCTCTCTAGTTCTTTACGTGCTTCACTCTCTAATTTTTTATTTTCCCGAATCCCAGCCTTCATCCCGGATGAACTTCTTATCTTAACATGCCATATTCATGTTCTTATCTCAATCAAATACCCGATGTAAAACTTAAACCAATAATTAATCATCATTTGGAGTGAAAATTAATGTAATCATAGAAATTGTGAATCATGACCCGGTGGATTTTGATGATGATCGTTCAAAGCTTCGATTTCAGATTAATTGGAGATCCTTGGTTGTTTAGGGATAAGTGAACCCACGTTAATAATCTAAGAACCGACACCAAAAGCCGACTAGGTGTTAGAATGGAACAAGGAACTGGCCGATGAACACGAAGGATGAACCCGGAAAATTTCCAGGAAAACCAATGAAACCCAAAAGTTACCACTACTCGTCACCTTACGAATTTTGTTCAAAATTTCATTATCAATTTTTTTCTTACACCCTAATGAACCAAAATCTTCCTCAAATCAACATTAATGATCCTTTAACCAGTATCGAGGTTAAAGAACACGAACCCGTAAATAAGAATACCTTCAACCCAAATTCCGTAAAAACCCATAAAAATAAAACAATTATTTGTTTTAAAAGCTTTCGATTTTTGCTTTCCAACCGAATTCTCTCACCTTTATGTTTTTCTCGCCCTATTTTCTCTCGAATCCCCTTCCTTTTTTCCCTCTTTTAAATCTCGAATTTTTACCTCTTTTATAGGCACTCCTATTCGAATTTCGGTTTAACTTAAATACCTTCAAACTCGCATTTTTACCTATCCTACTTGAACTCAAAATTTCGTTATTGATTTTGAATTTGATTCGCTAAATAATTGGGGTAGATTGAATTTGAAGAAATCCAAAAAACGATTAGAGGATTGAGATAAATTTTGATAAAATTTTGGAGGGAATCGGAGTGAAACTCGAAGTCGGAGTGAACGACTTATCATTCGCTAAATTTCAATCATGTCGTTCGCTCAAAGCTTCTACTTTGGTCTCTACGAATCTTAATTATTTGCAATCATGCCTATTTTGTGCAATTTCGGTTACGTAAAGAATAATTTTTCTCGATTTGATCCCCATAAATATTAATTCAAGTATTGAATTTCTTTAATTGATTCAATTATGCCTTTGAAGATTTTGTATATATATTTTTTCTTTTTTCTTTTCTCTTTTTTTTTTTATAAATAATTCAAATAAAATAAAATAATAATAAAAGTTATTATTATCATTTTTTTCATTTTTTTTTTTGGTTATGACAATATGTAATATTTTAAGCTTTGCTATTGATTTTTTTTCCTTGTAAAGGCTTTTTTTTGGAAAAAAACTAAAAATATTAAATTTTAGTAAAGTGAGCATGCAAAAAGCATATGTTATATAAACATAGAGAAATTTTTAACGAACAAAATACATTAATTATAATAGCATACATTGTTATACCTAACATTTAGAAAGAAAAGACATTATCGAAGAACCAAGGATATAGGTAGCAGCCAAACAACATAAAATGTCTATTCATCTTTTACTCCTCTATCGCCTTCATCCAACTCTCCATTATCACCGTTGAAGCAATGATTTACTCTAAGGTTGGTTCAAACTCTTAATTGTTTGGCATGGAAACCTGAGCCCTGAAAATCTTTATTTGTTCCACAAACCAAAGAAATGACGGTAGAATAATAATCATATCTATATGTTGATGGTGGAAGAGAATCTCTTGGCAAGTGGTGTTAAAAAGGTTAAGAGGAGACACATTGCCAACAATGATTTTTACCTAGGTTGTGCCGTTAAAAATAGTGCACTCGATGTTGTATCTAAAACATAGAAATGATTTAGTTGTCATAAGCATGAAAGATATGTTACTATAGACAAACTAAATTTGAAGGGAAAGTGTTAGCATAAAATTATAAATGACATGGATTGGTGTGAGGGAATGAACTTTTGATCTAGGAGGCCAAGTAGCTTTGAACGTGTTAGGCAATAGAAGTATCCTATATGTTGTGTGAGTTTCTTTCCATATTTGAGACATGTAAAATAAAACCATGGATGTGTTCCTTCAAGATTGCTTATGTTGAAGTTGTTTATATAAGCTCTAATCGTGTAAAAATATTATAGTGAAGAAGAAGTGTAAGAAATAGAAGTAAGGTGTTAAAGAATGTCCTTATGTATTTATGTAGAAAAACTATAGCGAATAAGAGGATATATGAATTGTCGATCTCGAACCTTGACATCAGTGATAGGAACGCAAAGCAAGTTTGCAATGATTGTTGTATTTTTGGTTTTCAAATGATGAGATGCTATGATATTATGGGAATACAGCGAAGGCCGACCTGAAATAGTATGAAATGAAGTTTCTTCATTTATCTTACAAGGAAGAAGTTTAATTAATAATAATAAAAAAAGAACCAATCGATAGCAGCACATAGCAATAGTCAAAAGCATAAAGAAAAGATAAAGCAAAATGAAAAGCGTTAAAAAAAATATGTCAACAAAATAATTAAAATAAAAACAGCTTAATTAAACTATAATTTCTCTAATTTTCTTTTATCCTATTCTCACAAACAAAGATCTTCATCTAATATAAGAAAAACGTCGAAAATAAAAGATGGGAGGATAGGTAATAGAAAACAAAAGTAAAAAAAAGACTCTTTGAAATGAGAGGAAGACAAGCCCACTAAGCCCACCTCATCTGATCCTTCTTACTACGCGAACTTGATCATAGAGTAAATTATAAATTAATCTTTTTACCTTGTCAAAATGAATTAAATTGTTGATTTAGTTTTGATAACTAATTAATTATTTTTATATTTTAAAATCTAGTTATAGGAAATTCATTTTATTATTTTTGAATAAATTAAAAATAATTAAAAAGTAAAAAGATTATGAGAAAAAATATTTTAAAATGAAATAATGTTAAATTAACTATAAAAATAACTGACTAATGGATTATTTAATGATTTTTTTTTCAAAAAGAATTATTTAATTTTTTTAAAACTAGAATAACTAATTTATAATTTACTCAAATCATAGATGAAACAGCTGCAAACTTAAAATCTTTTCTTACTGTCTCCAAAAAAAGTGTAAAAAATAAATAAACAAAAACAAAATCCATTATTCAATCCAATCTCCACCCACAAACAATGCCTTGTTGTTCTTCTTCTTCTCCCCGTCTCACTCTCTTCAACTCCGTTTCTCTCTAGCCACTGTAAACAGATTTACCTTAACTCACTTTCCTTCTTCAAAAAAACCAAACCATGTACTTATCAGAGAAGCCTCGCCCTCTCGATTTCTACAAAGAAGAAGTAACACCCTCTTCAAGAGACAACATGATTATCGAAGTTGTCTCTTCCAATGGCGATTTGCCAGCTCACCATCTTCCCACCCCCACCACCACCAATACTAACCCACACCAGATGATTCTCGGCGACAGCAGCGGTGACGATAACCACGAAGTCAAAGCACCCAAGAAGCGAGCCGAGACATGGGTTCAAGACGAAACGCGGAGTTTGATTGGGTTTCGTAGGGAAATGGATGGTCTCTTCAATACTTCCAAGTCAAACAAGCATCTGTGGGAGCAAATTTCAGCTAAAATGAGGGAGAAAGGGTTCGATCGATCGCCGACTATGTGCACCGACAAGTGGAGGAACTTGTTGAAAGAGTTTAAGAAGGCCAAGCATCAAGATAGGGGAAGTGGGTCTGCTAAAATGTCGTACTATAAGGAGATTGATGAGATTTTGAGGGAAAGGAATAAGAATCCTCAGTATAAGAGTCCTACTCCTAAAGTTGATTCTTACATGCAATTTGCTGATAAAGGTATTTTGATTTCTGTTTTTTGCTAATTTTGGTTCCATTTGGAATTGGGTTGTTTAATTTGGTGTTATCTAGTGTTGGATTTCTCTTTTGCTATGCTGCAAACTAAGGCAACAGCTACTGAACAATTTTAATTTTGAGCATGACTATTTTTGGGCGTTTGGTGGCGATATAGTTTATTATTATTATTTTATTTTCTTAAAATAGAGTTGCTTGCGTTGCTTTGAAATTTTCTTCTAGAAATCGATATTTTTGGTTGTTTTCTGCTTTCTGGAAATCAGATAACCATGTGATGTGTTTGATGTGATATAGGACAGAACTAGCAAAAATAGAGCAGAATGTTATCTAAGAATTAGCTTAAGCCTTGGGGGCTTTGTTAAAACAAATGTTTCATGGTTTTGAATTTCTGGAAGGTCAAATAGATTTAGGGTGTATAATTTCAAAAAGAGCTAGGATAGGTGGCAATTGGCATTTGTTATGGCTGCTAGGTTGCTGGAGATTCTGGATGGTGGTAACGGGTTATCAAAGCATAATTATGGTTTATGATTGGCACACTGAGGGTTGGCTTATAATATGAGGAACTAGAAAAATCAAGTTATCGCAAGAGTGATCAGTGCTTAACTTAGGCTGTTCTGGTGATTCCATGTTAGACTTGAACCGAGGGTAGTGGAACCATATGAAACAATTTTCTGTACTAATTATAGAAGCTGCAAGACTCTTGGGTCCTAATAGAAGTGTAGCTGTGTCATTCTGCAAGCTGCCCAGATTTGGCCTGTTTTGTCACTGAAACGCTGAGACTGGTGTTGTAATGAATGGGGACTGTTGAGCCTGTGAGCTCATAGGAACTTCTTAACTATATTGATGCTCATGGTTCTGTGATGCTTTTAGCAGGTGGTTCTTGCTTCTGTACCTCATCAAGGGATTTCGCTCCAATGTACACCAAACAGTGGGTTCTAATCTAAAAAGTTTAGCAAATGATTCAGGAACTGTGCTTGTGCATTGTTGTCATGTTCTCTGACTTTTGTTTGCTTATATAATGAGTTACAGTTCATATGTACGAATGCATGTTTTCATTGTTGTTAGATTTTGATTCAAAACCTGTTATCTGGTAACCTTTTCTGCTTTTATTTTGGATGACAACTGAATGACATCTGAATTACATAACGTCACACCAAAACTAGATTTCTAAGGATGCAGGTGTTAGGAAGTCACATCTATTATGAAGCCTTGTCATGCTTGGTAATTTTATTCCTGAATTATTTATTTATTTATTTATTTATTTATTTATTATTATTATTTTTTTTGGTATGGATGTTTAGCTATTAGGTTTCTTTCCTTTCTCCTATTTGTTTATCTTAGCGCACAACTGTACAGTTAGCCTTTTCTTAATTGCATACTTAGCTTATAACCACTGAATGTTGCTAGAACCCCACATTTAATGATGGGACATTTGGCAAAAATAATTCCAGCATCTCTGTGCAGTATCATAAACTTTGCTGGTGTACTTTATTTTTTCTAGTCACTTCCTTCTGATAAATTTAATGCCAAATGGCATTTCTGGTTCTAACTGCCATTAAGATATGTGATCTGGACTTTACAACTTATATAGAACATTTAGTTCTGTCATTATGATTGGGTATTTACCATAGCATCTGCTTGGCTTATGCAGGCTTTGAAGATACAAGTATATCATTTGGACCCGTGGAAGGTATATCACTGTTACTGGTTTCTAAGCATTGTAGCTATCTTTTTATGTGTTTCTTTGCTGCCCATTTATGTGTTTGTGGAAGGCATGAACCTTTTTCAGTTAATGGTGTGCGCGCATGCGCGGGTGGGGTGGGGAAAGGGTTAATGAATGTGTATTAAGTAGCTTTCGTCTGAATCAACATCTAGGAAAAAAAGAAAAAAAGAAAAGAGGTTTAGAAGGTCAACAAATCAAGATGCTACCATTCTGATTGGGACATTAATTTAGTCACAGCTTCAAAGGTCGTAGGCATTGTTCTATAGAAAAACCAAATGTCAAAACTATCTTTTACAATGTGCTTGACCATCCCATAAGCAGCAAATGAGGTCCTCGCAGTACAGCAGCCAGGGAGCTGTTAGAGTGAGCTCTTTCTTCATGTCATCAACTTAAATGAAGAAAAAAACTATTAGCAGTAGAAATAGCTTTCAGCAGATTGGAGAGCCTCAACTGAACAGTGCAATTGTTTCCCAGAAAGGCTTTTCAAGGAAGCTCAAACCTACATGAATACTCTATTGTTTATCTTATTGTTTTATATAGCAATTCAGGCACATCATCATCACTCAACTTGTTCTAAATCAAAGCTTTGAGAAATATATCCTGCATTGACTAGATATAATTTCTCCAGAAGTTACAGTGGAAACTTTGCCTTATTTCTTTGGCTAATAGCAAATCCTGGGTTTTGATATTTTTTAGTGACCAACTTCAGGATCTCAAATCTCAATATGTGTTATGGTCCCGAGTTAAGGATCTCGTTAAGGGTCGATTAACGGGGAAATCAATTAACTTTCCCTTGTTCAAGTTTTGATTTTTCCATGAAGAACCTATTGTGAGTAGATAACAATGGATGGTTTGTTTTAGAGACCACCAACTCTTCTAGGTTTTTCTTGACTGAATTATTCGATACCTGTATTCAGAAAGCATCCGCTCTTTATATAGTAGAGGCGGCTGAAAACAAAGACAAACCTAATAGATTATTGCCTAAACAGACATAGAAAGTCTTAATTAAAATACCTCACCAATTAGGACTCTCATATCCTTTTCCTAATCTGACTTATTCTTAATAAATAATAAATAAAAGCAATAAATAAATATCTGCAAGATCTTAGTTTCCCTCTCATATCCTTTTCCTAACCTGACTTATTCTTAATAAATAATAAATAAAAACAATAAATAAATATCTGCAAGATCTTAGTTTCCCTCCTTGTGTTGCTACGCTCTTCTATGCTGCTGATCCACAACATTACATCCCTTCTAGACATTGAGCTTGTCCTCAAGCTGAAAATGAGGATAAGTGTCCTATAGGGAAGTGATCGATTCTTTTGTAGCATCATCAGGGTGCATTCCTAGTCCTTGTCATGGCGTGGAGGGAGATTTTGAGATCCACGGCGGGTATAGTTCCTCATTGAAGTCGTCCACCAATAAGCAGAACAGAAATTTACACTGATTCCCAACAGAGATAACAAAGTCCCTTTGCTCGCCTCTCCGCCACCTCTGCTCTTGATAACTTTTTAATGAAATGCGTTGATGTACTTCCCCGTGTCGGAAACCATGGGCAAACTTCCTCCCACCTGTTTTGATTCATGGTTGACAGTGAGTGGAGGAGTTGAACCTGTCATTTTTGGAGGAAACCAGTTAGAAGGAGCGCTTCTCCCTCCAATTCTGCCAGAGAGTTGCAGCTTTCTGTCGAAAGTTTAGTTGTAACCAGATTAGGGGGTTGCTGCATCTCAACATCCACCCGCAACGCTTCTTTAAGTCCTATAGTAAACAAATCAACTTACTAATCACTCCTCACAGAAATAGCCCTAGCCAGGAGTGTTTGGAATTGACTTTGATATTCCTCTATTGTGCTAGATTGTTTCAGATTAGCTAGCTCCCCTAATGGTTTAATGCTTAGTGGAGGGCAAAATCTCAGAGAACAATAGGATCTGAATTGATCCTAAGTGATATTCAGCTCTTCTTGTTCTAGAAGAAAGAACCACAGTTGAGCCTCACCCGTCATATGAAAAGCGGCTAAGCCCACCTTGTATCCCTCTTCTATTCGCTGGTTCAAAAAGAATTGTTCGCAGATAAAGCCATCGCAAAGGGTCCTCCATACCACTATAAGAAGGAAATTCTAACCACGAGTACCTGGGAACTGCGGTGCTGCTGGTGCATCCTTGGATGGCACTACTGCTGGCCGTGATGTTGGTTCACTGTTGCTTCCAGATCCCATCTCTCCTTCGGCTGCCTTGCCCTTGTCCAATGATTGCAACTCCAACAACATCTGAATAGCCTTCATCCCTGCCCTCAGTTCACACAATTCCTGACCAACTGTGTCTGTCAGGTGGTGCTCCAATTCTTGTACCCTAGCTGATAGTTGTTCGTAATCACCCATGACGATTGGCTTTGATATTAAATTTTTATGGTCCTGAGTTAAGGATCTCGTTAAGGTTCGATTAACAGGGAAATCAATTAGCTTTCCCTTGTTTACATTTCGATTCTTCCGTGAAGAACCTATTGCTAACAGATAACAATGAATGGTTTGTTTTAGAGACCACCAACTCTTCTAAGTTTTTCTTGACTGAATTATGTGATACCTTTATTTAGAAAGCATCCGCTCTTTATATAGTAGAGGTGGCTGAAAAACAAAGACAAAACTAATAGGCTATTGCCTAAACAGACTTACACTAACATATAAAGTCTTAATTAAAATACCACACCAATTAGGACTCTCATATATTTTTCCTAATCTGACTTATTCTTAATAAATAATAAATAAAAGCAATAAATAAATATCTGCAAGATCTTAGTTTCCCTCCTTGTGCTGCTGCCTTTTTTTATACTGCTGATCCACACCAATATGCCATTAGGAATCAAGATCATTTCATACGTGGTTCTGCTTTGCATCAACTGTAACACCACAAGAGCTTTCCTAGAAGTGGCATTCGGAAGGTGCCTTCTTTCATGTAGTAGTATAAGCCACTAGTGTCCCACAAGGTTTCTTCAATTCCTTCCTGAATCACTCCCACAAATATCAACATAGAATTGGGAACCTGCAATTGTGCCCGAAATAAGTTCTTTCTCCATTTTGCATCTCATTTTTAGCCTTGAAGAACCTAGCCTGCCAACACTGTCAAGGGCTTTTATGCTCCAAAGGTTGCAGCTACAATTACTATTCTACTCAACCCACAAACCCATATGTTCCACTCATGATTTATCAATGGTGGTTCATTTCAAGAAAATTTAGTCAGGGATCCTACTGATGTGTAACTTTAATGATGCATTTTGAAGGGTGTGGTGGAAGCCACACAAACAACACCCCCACCCCCCCCCCCCGAACAAGCTTCTAATCATAATACTTGGAAGAGGTAGTCAAGAGAACAACCTATGAATGTTAAAAGTGATGTTATGTGGTTGGATATGACGGGTTTTTGGTGTATTGATTGTTTAATTGTTTGGATGTTAGCTGATTTGAAGAATGTTAATTGAAGGTCCTTTATCAGGGCTTGTGCCCTTTGTGGTATGATATTTGTGCAACTTCTTCCATTTTATGTTTTCTGCAGTTTTCCTTTTCTAAATGGTATTTGCAGGTCACAGATCAAGCTTTTTATCAAAGAAAAAGAAAAACTGATGAAGCAGACCATGGTTTGGCTGCAGAAGAGTAGTGCATGATTGTTGAGGTTATAAGGCCCACAAAACTTATTAGTTTAGATAAGCTCCTTCATAAATGAGAATATGATGCTAATGTCCATTGCCAACCCTTTATATTGTTTTTATTTGCTGTAGTTCAAATGCAGTGGCATTTGCATTCTCTAGCACAAAATGGTATTTACTAACACTTTGTGTTCGCTGAAGTGGGTAGATAAACCTTGGGTGCCTAGAGTAGATCAGCCCTTGGAAAATTGACCTATTCATTCGATATAGCCTTTATAAGTGTTCTCAATCTCATTATGCAGTGGACAAGTTACTGAGTATTTCTGTCACTAGTAAGTTCTAGATGTTTTCTTATGCACTCTTTAAAGTTCAATTGGCCACTTCATTATTCAACTTGTCTATTATTATCATTTTACTTTCCTTTTCCTATCGATTTTCTGTCAAACAGATTCCTCGTTCCCTCATTTAAGTTCCTTGTTGTACAGCCTCTGCCAGGCCATCACTCAATCTGGAAAGACGTCTGGATCATGATGGACACCCTCTTGCAATCGCTGCAGCTGATGCAGTTGCAGCAAGCGGAGTTCCTCCTTGGAATTGGAGGGAGACCCCTGGGAATGGTAAAGCTCTCTGAAATGGAAGTTAATTGGTTAACTCATTTCCATTCAGGATGTAAGATTTTCTTAATGACTTGCCCGGATGAATTTGTTCTAAACCTTGTGATCCTGAGCCTGGCTTTCAACCATATGATTGAGATGAAAGAGATATTATGTTGACTTTTATATTCTCTCTCTATTGGCAGGTGCTGAGAGTCAATCATACGGTGGGAGGGTGATATCAGTCAAGTATGGGGACTACACAAGAAGGATTGGCGTTGATGGCACCGCAGATGCCATCAAGGAAGCAATCAAGTCTGCTTTCAGATTAAGAACTAAGCGAGCTTTCTGGTTGGAGGATGAAGACCAGATAATTCGTAGTCTTGACAGGGACATGCCTTTAGGCAATTACATGCTTCACCTTGATGAAGGTAATTTTTGCATCTATGCTGCCCTCTTATTATTTACCACGCTCTATGTTTAAGTCCTGCTGAAGGATTGTTAAATCTGTTTATAAATCCTTTGTAGGCTCCTGGATTGTGAAATTCTGAAGCTACTTAGTTTAGTGGTTGCCATGAATAATCTTATTTTTCAAAGACTTGTTTAATCATGCACAGTTTGTAAAGGGAAAGACAATCCATATCAACCATAATTGTTCAGTTTTATATTGTGAAAGTTATCTCAAGCATTTATATAGCTAATATAGCAGCAGCGACCAAAAGGCAAAACCAATTGCAGCATTGTTTAATAGCCTTCACCATTTCAACCAAATTCTTGGACATTCAGAATGATAGTTGCCAAGTTATTGTTAAACACTAATGTACATCAGCTATTTCAGGAATAGCTATCAAAGTCTGCCTGTACGATGAGTCGGACCACATGCCAGTGCATACTGAAGAGAGAATTTTCTATACCGAAGATGACTACCGTGATTTTCTGTCACGCCGGGGCTGGACGTGTTTAAGGGAGTTCGATGGTTATAGAAACATTGATAGCATGGATGACCTTCGGCATGGTGCTATATACCGTGGTGTGAGTTAGCATCTACTACAATCATATCTGCTACTTTTCCATATATTGTTCGCTGTTATGCTACTTCATTTTATCACCATGCCACAGCGGTGGAACTCTATCACACAATTGTACAGCATTCTGTAATTTTGTTGAATTAGGACTAGATCAAGCCTTAATCTATGGACAGTCATCCAGTGTTTGTAAATATGTATTTTCATTGACCAAGAAGGTAGTTTCATTTATGTAGTAGTTTCAACCGTTCGACTGTTGAACAATTTTGAGTGTTTGAAAATCAAAATGATCATCGATGAACCAACCAGGTGACGTGTAGGGCAGATCCAGTTCGGTTGAAACCCTTGCAATGCAAAAGCGAGTCAAATTCCAGCCCGATAGCTGTTGATACATAGTAAATTCCAGTTTCCCTAGAAAATCAGAGGCTTCCAAAAGTTTGCCTGTGGGGTATAGTAGTACGTACATGCGTCAAAAATAAAAAAATAGAGATCGATGAGGGAAAGAAAAAGTAAAGGTAAAGAAGATTCACAGCTAAAATTCATTCATTGTGGAATTCAGATTCAATTTACTTGCTTTCTGGCATTACAAGTAAAACAGGGAAAGCAAGACCTAGATTTCGCAGTTCGTTCGCTCCCAAGAACTTACAAAATTTCGCAATTCCTTCGTTCCCAAGAACTTACAAAAGGTAAAGAACTTACAAAATTTTGCAATTCCTTCGTTCCCAAGAACTTACAAAAGGTACAAATGTATCATTTTTAGCAATGTTTATACGCTCATCTTAGACCAGACGACCATGTGAATAAAAGATTCACAGTGACACAACTGAACAGAAATCCATGAACAAGTCCACGAAAGATAGGCCAGGCCAGCCAGGCACCTCTACTGCTCATCCCATTCGTCATTCTTGTACGAAACAAGAGTGTCAACCTTGTGTATCTGCACAATCCAACGACCACGTCACAGTTTGTAAGTTTACTATATATATTCTCTCATTTATCCATCAAACAGAAAATCAATTTCAATAATAACTTGATTTCCTGACTTGCCTTGGTATCAAAAGAATGCAATTTCACCATTTGTGGATTGGCAATAAGTTTGGGGTCGCTCTCAATCCAGGTGAATGGGACCGCAACATCTTTGTCAGTGTACGCTAACACATCAAAAACACCTAAAACAACAAACAATTCAGTGATTGTAATCAAGAAATCATCAAAACATAACATAATTCATTGATCAGGAAGGAGCAAATGATTCTTACAAGGTTCATCAAGGCATGGCAAGTAAGTAATGCTTGATGCAATCTGACGCATGATTGCCTGTATCTCTCTCATAATTTCCTTGTCACTCTTTTCCCTTGACACCCTGAAATCATAACCATACAACAAATCAATCCAAAACTTCAGAAAGGTTTGTATTAGAACGAAAAAAAGAGTTTGGACTCTAGACAAGAATATTACCCTTTCTCAACAACCTCACCATCAGTCTCAATGCTAAAATTCCACCTCTCCAGGACCTCATTGGTGGCCTTACTCATTATCACTAGAACAACCCTCTGTAATTTCCCACCTTCCAGCCATTCTTTGCAGAATTCAAGAACGAAGCATTTCAGTGATCAACAACAATACACACAAAAGCATCGATTTGGGTGCCTAAGAAATAATACAAAAGAAAAGAAGACAAAACTTGTAGACTAAATCTCATCTACAAGTGGAAGCCAATTAATTGTGTTAGGTTTCGATAAAGGAGGATTTTCATTTCTTTGTTGTCCCTAACCAATTTAAATTTGATTCATCTGCTTTCTTTATCTACATTTTAATCAGCAAAAACCTAACAAAGCTAAGACAAAAATGGGAAACTGTACAAAGATAAATATCTGGTACCTGATAACTGAGCATTCAGGTTGGCAATAAAGGTTTTAACACCTTCATCTTGAGTAAGCAGCAATGGAAGCCCATATTTTTTCACTTTCACAAAACCCTCTTCTGGATAAACCCCTCGATTGTAAAGTATACTACACAAAATCAACTAATCAAGATTCATCTCAAAACACACAATACAGATAACAAACATAAACAAGATAACAGAGGTTAAAAACCAGGATCCTATAGAATTTACCTGTTTGCTGCATAACCTGAAAAGGGGAGTCAAAGAATAAACACAAAAGATTAACCAAAGTTTCTGATAAAGACCGAACAAAGAAATTAAAAAATTGAATTCAAGAAAGGTATCAAAAGGGGAGATTGAGACTATCACATACCAAAGAACTCACTAACAATCGCTGCAGAACCACGGAGAGTGATTATGTCCTTTGCAACCGTTCTTGATGCCATAATTCTCTTTTTCTAGTAAAATACTTTAAAACTACAGGAAGATAAGAGAAAAACAATCTGGGTCTGTTTCAAACAAAAGAATCAAATTGTGGGTTTTGATTTTTTTTTGAACAAGAAATGAAAGACAAAATGGGTGTTTTGCGAGATCAAAGAAGAAACAAAATTGGGTTTTTGTTTACTTGAGGATTGATTGCAAGAAAACAGAGTTTGATGAGCGAGTTGTGAGAGAAATTGATTAGCTATTGATGAAATGAAATGTAAAGACGCTAGGGAAAGTAACGGCTAGTTTTCTCTGGTTTCGTCTCGAGGCCAACAACGGCAACATCTTAAATTGCGCTTTTAACGGTAAGAAAAAATGCGATACCCTTTTTCTTGATATTTGTTTTCAAATTTGCGACAGTGCGCTCGTGGGCATTGTCTCGTACGTTATGTCGCTTGGTAAAGCGGCCACAATAATGAGTAGGGCAAATCATAAAAGTCCCCAACCATTAGGAGTAATCTTGATTAGGTTCCCTATCTATTGTTTTTCTCAATTAAGCTTCTAAGTATTAATGAATTAGTCAATTTGATCTATTGAGTCAATTTCATTTAAAAAAATTATTAAATATTCATGTAAAACTTACCTAATTTTCTCTTTTTTTAAAAAAAAGTGATAAAAACATACTATATAAAGAAAAATAAAACTATTGTATTTCTTTATATAGTATGCTTTATTACGCATATAAAGATAGAAATCATAGTGAACTCATAGGTTTTTGATAAAAAGAGAGAGAGAGAGAAATTATGTGAGTATCATATGATTATTTAATAATTTTGTTAAGTAAAACTAATGGAAGGATCTAACTAAAAATTCATTGATACATTGGAGACCTAGTCGAGATAAAAAATAGATTGGTGACTTAATCAAGACTGCTTCTATAGATTGGAGACATTTTTGAGATTTGCCCAAAAATTAACATATATTATTTACCTTTTTTTTTTTTTTTTGTAAGTAATGTTGATTAAAAAGTTATACAAACAGATGAGTTAATGAAGTTTAACAAATTTATTGCGACTGAAAAACGAAATAAGGAAAAGATTAAGGATTAATTTACCTTGTAAAATTCACGAAGCTAATAATTTTATCATTATCCATCTAGGGAACTAGGGCATTTAAAGCTCGCAACATTCAGGGTCAAAATGATATACGCACTTCTCTTGGTAAAATCTTTATTAACTTAGAGTACGTAAAGTAATAATTAACTGATTTACTTTTATCATTAATAAATGCCAACATGTAAATGCATACTAACATAGATTTTCTCGATCTTTAAAAACCTTAATAGCGTAATGGAATCTTTTTCATTCTCAAACGTGTGTGACAGTGTGAGTGTGAAAAATATACATGAACTTTATTTTTTTAATCAGGTATTAGCTAACCTATTTGTACACTTATTATTATTATTATTATTATACAAAAGAGATCAGTACTTGAAACAACAAGAAGTGATTTTCGAAAGAAGCTAGTTAATTAATTAATTAATATTTATCACCATGTTTCTTCAATAGTAATTAATTCGGAGTCCTTTAATAGTAATTGAAAATTTGAGTGAGATGCATGCAATTACATGACATGGGACATTAATACTGAGAAGGTGGATTGTCTAAAATCATAAAAGATTCAAACAAAACAAAAGAAAGCAACAGCCAACTAAGTGTCTCTGGTGCTGAGGATATATTGCATGGTAGATATGAGTTCAGCTGAAGAGTACGTACTGGTCCTTTTCCATAGTTTTGAAGCTTTCAGCTTCTAAAATGGAATCTCCAAACTCTTCTTAAACATCCTTTTCTTTCTTAGCAAATGTCGTCATTTTGTGCTCATCAATTTCCTCATTTTCGTTGATATACATGACTTTGAATTTCGTCCCAAATTAAAAAAAAAATGTTTATCAACATTTTGCCTTGAAAATGATGTTTTGTTACATGAAATATGCATATTAAACATAAATTTTCAAAAAAAATGTGGATAGAAGAGAAGGACCAATTGAAATATGTTTGAATTTTTACGAATCTAATTGATAAAGTATTTCTATTTTTGGATTAAATTGAGAATTATATAATAAATTAGGGACAGAATTGATGTTTTTAAATAATAAGTAAAAAAATGTTTAAGGGCGATCAGTTCTAACTTGCCTGCCAAAATGACAAAGGTTGGCCAAAACGATATCTTTGACTGGATAAGAGTGAGAGACGAACGTTGACGATCCGGAGCGACTAAGATGGCGCGCCGTTGATGGATTATGTCTGTTGAAATATTTTTTAATAAAACATTGAAAGAAGACTTTTTCGTCTCTATATGAAAATAGATTTTCATATAAAATCAACGATATTTAATCATTTTTTAAAAATTATAATAATTTTTTGTAGAGTACTTACTTAATAGAACCAAATTATCGAATAAAACAAATAAATAATAAATAAATGAATTAATGATTCTAATATAATATATAAAAATATAAAACATATTATTTATCAATTATTCACAACCCAAATGGTCCGTCTATCATCGGATCTAGTACAACTTCTTGAAGTCGAGGAAATTATAGTGAGATCATCCACAATAGGAGACACTACTTGGAGAAGGCATTATTGCGGGGATGCGGATGTACTCGCACCACTATCAAGTATGCGACCTTGACCGGTTAGACTAGCAATGTCATGCTCACATACACCACTACTATTAGTCGCATGGTTAAAATCGAGCCACGACCACCGATACCGTAACCGGATCCGCTCAATCCACGAGACATGATTGAAGAATAACACTTGAAATAGTCTAATAAATAAATAACAATTCAACAAAAAAAATATATTATAAATTATTATGAATTAAAACAAACAAAATCTAACATGTCTAAAATGCACAATAAACATCAAAAAATGCATAATAGATAAAACGATATAATTTAATGAATACAATAAATAAAATTGACTTTAATTACAACTCGTTATAATAATCTTTTAAGTTTTTCTCTCCTTTTGTCAATTCTAATACATATTTACTCTCATCTTACTCAATAGTTTCGATTATTTCTATATCTATAAATAATCCATTTGGATCATTCAATGAATTCAAAGAATGCTCTTCACCATCATTTTGGACTAAATTATGTTGGATTTGCGAAGTGTCCTCTTGAAATGAATCGAATTCTAGTGGACTCCACTAGACGATTATGGCAAATCCACAATAGCCCTAGCTTTTATCTTATAAATGCAGCAAATTCTTCAACTTCATTTACAAAATCATCATTTAAATAACCATTTATACACCTAACATACATCCATTCCGGATCGGACCTTATTATTTTGTTTCTATATTTTTGAGGCAACAAAAAATTATTTAATTAATCATTTTTTAAACATCTAATAAAAATTTAACGAGTCTCTTCTATAAATTGCATCTTTCTCAAACTTCAAATAATCACACAAACATTATGCATAGCGAGATCAATAATTGTCTTGGATACTCCTTCAAAATTAAATCACAAACTCTTCCTCCCGAGCTCCATCATAGAGCATTGAACCAACCTTATTTCTCCTCAATTTGCAAGGGTTTCTAACACATCGGATTCGATACACAATGGCGTATCTCGACACACTTCAATAATTATATATGAAATAATTAAACTAATTAATTTTAATTATAACCATATTAAATTTAAAATAACAATAAATTAACAAGTATTATTATAAATAAAGTTATAATTCAACAAATTCACCATAATTAATTAATTAATTAATTAACTAAACATAAATCAAATTAACTTAATTAACAAAAATATTAAATTTAATTAAAAATTAAAAATAATTGAAAATTTTATTCTAATCCAACCAATTAAAAAAATTTAACACAATGATTAATTAATTAATTAAACATAAGTTCAATTAACTTAATTAATTCTAATTCTAACCAAATTAAATTTCAAATAACAATTAAATTAACTTAATTAACAAGAATATTAAATTTAATTAACAAAATTACAATTAATTGAAAATTTTATTCTGATCCAACCAATTAAATAAATTTAACATAATTAATTAATTAACTAAACATTAATCAAATTAATTAATTAATTATAATCCGACGTAAATTAAATTCAAAATAACAATTAAATTAACTTAATTAACAAATATTTTACATTTAATTAATTATCTTATTCTAATTCAACAAATTAAATATAATTAAAATAATTAACTAACTAAAAATTAATAAAATAAACTTAAATAATTATAAATTAATTATGATTAAATTTAAATTATATTTAATTAATAAATTAACCTAACAATTAATAAAATTCAACAACTTAACAAATTAACAAAAATTAACAATTTAACAAATAAATCAACATACCAACAATTAAATATCTACACAATTAGAAATAAAACAATTATACTAAAATTAACCTAACAATTACAACAAATTACTAATATTAATTAAAAAAATAAAAGAGATAAGAAATAACATAATTCGGGTGAAATTGATCGAAATGAAGGAGGAAAACACTTGGTTTATAGGAGAAATGGGTTTTAAGACATTGTGGATTGATGGAGAATGGATTAGGGAATTTTTGTGGAGGATTTGAGGGGTTGGGGGTGGGGCGACAGCCTTAGGGAGGAAGAGAAATGGGGGAGAATGAGGAGGGAGTATTCACCCCGGGTTTTAAAGAAACCCAAATCAACTATGGGATTGGTCTCGTCGTTGATTTGTCATTATTTTTGACGGACATTAGTGTTCGTTGCTAAATAGACATGTTTGGCATGCTTTTGAATTTTCAAAGCCCATCCAAAATTTCAACATTTAGCGATGAGAAAATTTTTGTTGCTAAATATCAACCATTTAGCGATGGCCAAAAGCTAATTTTTTTTTTTTAACAAAATTAATAATTCGTCACTATTTTCTATAGCTAATCTATCTCTAATCTATTGCTAAAAGTTTGGGTAGTTTTTGGCATCATATTTAG